AAGCCTAGAAATTTTGTTCCATTCTTTGAACTTAAGTGGCTATGCAAATATCTAGTGCCCATGGCCAATGCCTCTCTGCTGGAAAGCTTTTGACATGTGAGGTATGACTTGTTTGTATCACAGCAGCTGTCAGCTTTCTGTTGCAAATATATAAATACACAGTGTGCAGATATATTTACATGAAAAAAAAAAATTAATACTTGGATGTGGTTTCCAGGTTATTGCAGCTTTGTTCAATGAGTAATTCCATGAAACTGAGTTTGATGATGAAATGTTTGTTGCTAATCATGTTTGTATGTTGACCCAAAAAATACATTTTTATCTTGACCCAAAAATATACTGTTTAATTTCATTTGTGTCTTGAGAGTTTTATTTTCTCTCCAAGTAAAGTGATATCATAAAGGGACATGTGATATGCACCTTATACCCTTCCTAGCTTTTTCTTTCAGGACGTCTTGATAGTCTATCATCATGGAATGATTGGGGATAAGAATAACATTATGCTGTGGTAAGAAGAGACATACTTTGATCACAGTAAGAGAAAAGTCATAAACTAATAGAAGTGAAGAATGTTATTTAATAGATCCCACTCAGTATGTTTTGCAACTGAGAAATTATAAAGAATGCCATTTATTTTCCTGTAAATCTTATCTCCCACAGATCCCTTACTATTTTGTATTTCCTAATAGTTAGAATAAATGCTTTTTATTAGGGTTGCTTACACCAATAATTTTTCGGTTTCATAATGTCAAATATATTACTGTGCATGTATCTCCACACACACATGTTCTCTCTGGCATGTTTCAGACAGTCCTGATCTACCACCTTGTCTGAAAAGTGCATGCTTAGTATATCTCATATGAAGTGGGTTTGACATATGCAACTGTCAGCAACTTATGTACTCCAGGTTGAATAGAAGAACAAGAGGAAATTCAGCTAAAAATATGCCAAAGTAAGATGGAAACTAGCCAGCTGTCAACCATGCTGAAAATAAATAAAAATTTTGAAAAACAATAACATGAAACTACTTGAGAGAGTTGGAGGAATGCCTTTTTTTTTTTTTTTTCCTAGAGATGATTTAAAAATATGTTTCTTCCAATTTGAGAGTAAGAAAAAAATGAAAAGTATTAATTATAGACAATTAATGCCTTAATACATAGTGCATGGAAGATAAATTTCTAATCTTTCATGTGGTTCACTTCAGATAGACAGTCAATAAATACTCAGAATGGAAACTAGTATTTCTCACATAATATTAGTCTGGTTTGCAGTACTTTGTGTTGACCAAATGCAAGTCATACCAGCTCTGTTCATGTAAGGCATAAAATGTATATTGTTGCATAGAGTAAGACTTTTTGAAAACAAATGGACTTGTTTGTTATGTTTGATCAGAAGATCATGAGTACATAGAAGTATCACACACATTTATCTCAGCTGGGATTCCTTCAAGAATAAACTCAGTTTTTAATATCTTTGTCATGCATGGTGAAGAAATAGGAGAATTAAAACTAATGGAGGTGATTATGACTTCAAAAGACGTATTGTTAAATTAAAAAATATTTTGAATACTCAAGCAGGTTGATACTTTTTCTGTCTTTCCCTCCCTCTCACTCTTACATTGTGTTCCCCCTCCCCTCTTTCTCCTTTCCTTCCTTAAACTAATATCAACCTTGGATGCTGAGGTGTATACTCATGCAAAGTCAAATTCCAACCATTAAAATAAATACATACATATTTCTTATAATATCTAACTGAACATAATGCATATTTACATATTTATTATCAGAAATATCTCGTGCATTATACTTCAAGATTTCAAGTATATACATTATTTTTATATATACATATAGTTAATTTTTAGTTGTAAATCATGAGAGTTGGTCATTCCATCTATAACTTATCAAATTTATTGTCTGTAGCTTATTTTTTTTGTGTCATGAGTGACATGTTAAATAAAGCTGAAAGCAAAGATAACATACACAATGCTGTCTCACACCTCTTCCAAACATCAGTGAATTTTGTTAATTGTAAAGCTGTGTGCTAGTTCCACTATGTGCCCAAAGTACACAGTATCAATTTCCCACACCATGGCTATATTACAGCACACTAAATTTTGTTTACTTCACAAATGCTTTCACAATACTAAAACTTCCAAAAGGATTAAAGCAGACTTCATTCATTTCTTTAGTGCATGGAAACAATTGATGCCCATATACTTCCTGAACTTCTTTTTGGTTTTTTGTTTGTTTCTTTCATTCTTTTTTTTTTTTTTTTTTTTTCTCCTCATCCTATACAATTTTCTATCTCTGATTGTAAAACTTTTACTGCAGTGTTCTAAGCTGCTGCCATATTTGGGGGTTTTGCATTTTCCAAACAATTATTGTATCATAAGCTACTAGCATATTTTCCTGTTAGGAAAGCTTTTACTTCTCCTGTTTGCAGCTTCCTGAACTCAAGCAAATTATATTCTCTCTACTAGCCATCAAGGAACTTCCTTTTGATATAGTTCAGCAAAACTAACCATACTCATTCTACTTTATTTGGCATAAAGTCTATAACAACCATATTAGACAGAATCGATCTTTCATGAAGATATTTCTGCCACTTCAATACACTATTCCAGGAGGTAAACCAGATGTTTTTATAAATTTGGGAAGATGACATCAACAGCTTTCAGACAAGATGCCTCTATCTGAACAAATTTCATATTCTTATATTCAGAGATGATCTTGCAAGTAGTTTCCCAAAGAGGCATGAGCAGTAATGTGTGCTTAGTTTTGAAATCATTATCCTGTAGTTTCTCAAGCACTTGACAAGTTACTCTTTGGATTACTGACTAAAGAAATATCACTCAATTACATATCTTCATAAACATCTTCCATAATCATGAAATAATATATACTTCTCAAGATGTGACTATGCCAAAAGGTCCTTTAAAGACTATGGAGTTAATGTTTCCTGTAGAAATGACTCTAATTATAATATATGGCTTAATTTTGCATTATGCACATCTTTGTAATATCTTTTTGCTTCAGCAAAGTGATATATTTCACGAAATATTCTGACAGGCACTATAGATTTTTTTTTTTCCTAAGATTTCCCTTACTATTGCAGGGGCAACCTAGTCTCCTTCAACTGAGACACCACATTTATACAGAGAATACAATTTATAAATGTTAGTTCATACATCTGGATAACATTTTATAAGTACTGTCTAAAGAAAGGATTAATCTCTTATTCTTAGCTGTCCTGATAAATCTCCAAATGCTGTTTTAATTTACTCCTAAATCTTTTATGAAAATCTTGATTCAGATCTTATTTTATGAAAGCCTCACCTGTTTTACAGGTCGTATTTTAATATTTTTTTTTAGTTTACTACTGTTTGAAGTTTTTTTTTTCCCCTCCTGTGGAAATCTCTGATTCCTATGTATCCTCTACTTGTTTTATTTTGGTTGCAAGACAACTGTCAGCTAACGGATCTCCTTTCGCAGTTATGTTGTTTATCTTGACCCTGATCACTTTTTATTACTTGTTGTAGATTGTTAAGTGCTGAATAATGTCTTTTATACAAATTAAAGTTAATGAAGAAACGTACTACTACTGCCTGTTCTCTCAATAAAGCTGAATAAAGCCAAAAGGACAGTTTACTTACTGAGACATAATTGTCTCTTTACATCCAGTTATTTTTTTCTCTAAATCTTTACTGGTCACTCTAGAAGTTTGCTTTTGGTTTTACATTTGTTTTTCATTTGTTTTCTCAATAGAATGTGATTTTTTTAAAATGCATTAAAACTAAATGCCTAGCAACTAATTGTTCAAAGACAAAATGAACAGAATCATAATTTCTTCAGGAGGTATCAATTGCATATCTAATTACCAAAATCACTAAAATTAAAACAATTTTAAGGTTTCAGTAAATATTCACAGTTTACATGAAATGTTTTGTATTACTGGATACCCCTTTATGCAATATATTCCAGTAATGTTTATAACTTAATCTTTCTTATCATGTTCTTAATATACAATATTACAGTCAACTTTACCCACACAGTGGTTTAATATAATGCTAACACAAATGAAATCAATAACAAGTGTAAGAACTATATGGGAAAAAAAACAAAAAAAAAACAAACAAAAAAAACCAAAAACATATCAAGCATATTCATATTAACAACAAAACAATACGTTCTCCTTAAAATTAAATTTAATTCAAAACCATTATCAGTCTTGCAAAAACATCTTCAGAACAATATTAAGTAGGATCACTGGGCAGTATTCCTATGTATTCTGAAATCAAAAGCTGGATCTTCAGCTCATGTCTTTCAATGGTCACTGCAGACAAAGGGAACTCAGAACATCTGTGCTTGCTGAATCTCATTCTATGGATGCTAGAAACCAGTTCTTGTTGTTGGCTTCTAATTTTGCAGCCAAATTTTTGTACACTGTCAGAAAGCCTGACTCAGATAATATTTACTGAATTGGAATCGTTTTGCAAAAGCATATTCCACAAAGTTAGTTTAGTATTTCTTCTGTTTGTGGATTATACAAGGCATGCTATGGAATCTTTCCTCTTATTTTAAGAATCTTAGTGTTTAGCTTTCTTGCCATAGATGCTTCGTGTCATCAGTTTTTGCTACTGAAAATTTTGAAAAAACACTAGCACTTCATTATCTAAACAAAGTTCAACATTTAGAAAATACTGAAAAGTATCAGCGCTGTGGAATGTAATTTTGTAATTTTTGAGGATATGGAAGGAATCATATTAGAGAATCATCATATAAAAATGGTCAACTTCTTCAAATAACTTTTTTTTTTTTTCTATTTAGGTAATGAAATACAATCTATAAATGCTGATAAAACATGTTATGGTTTTCTTTAGATAGGAAAAAGAGAACGAAAGGAAAACTAGTAATGTAGAAAAAGCAACAGTATATTGGAGCTTTTCTATTACAGCAACAAAGATTAATGAAGAGAGATCAATGAATTGACATATAACCTACCCATGGGAGTTCCCACGCCATAACCTTTTGAGTCTATCAGGCCTCCAATCTGTGTTAGGTTACAGTTCCGCTGTGTGACAAACTCAATGGTTGTCGACTCCATTAAAAACGCGTAGTCGGAGGTAAGCACACGCTGGATGCCTTCTTCATTGCTTTTGACAAGTACTGACTGCCTCCTGCTACTCATGAAGGCCCACATCTTATCATAAGTGGAGATTTTGGATTTCTGAAAGACAAGTATTAGATAGAACAGTAATAAAGATAAAACACGTTTAAGAGTGAGTGCAAATTCCAAACTTACACATTATCCTCTTACCTCTTATCATGTTTTATTGCACATGTCAGATTTTGCAACAGCAAATGTAAGAGTGTCTATATATTTCATCTCATATGTGGAAAACAAAGCAGATGGACACATTTTCTAGAAAATGCATTATATTTTAGTTAATCTATTTTTCATTCTGTGCACATTTTTATTCGTGTAGAGTGAAAACCTAAAAGTTTTTAAAGTCAGCAAAAAACTATTAAGGATTTTAGTATAGTCAAGTTCATCAACAGTACTGGTGAGTTTCATAGGAGAATTTGCTGTATTCTGGTATGTTTGAAATTCACTCATATTTCAGTCATTACCCTACTCTTGAGCACTTTTAAAAGCCTTCTGCACAGTGGAGCAGCTTGCAGTAGTCAGAAAACTTACAGATAGCAATGTATGGAGAAAAAAAGTCATGAGGAAGAAGGCAACAAATATACAACTTACCACATTATAGTCATATTTATTTGCCATTACAAAATTAACAGCTAAAAGTCCTAAAGTTTAATATGTATCTGTTGCTTTAATATTCCCTGAATGCAATGCACTATTGTGTTATGGATGAGAAAGAGACAAAGGAGACGACAATTTGGTACAAACTGCTGCTGCACAGCCTTAGAGGAGTTACTCCTTTTCTCGACACATCAGCTTAAAAAAAAAGCAACCCAACAAAATAAAACAAAACCAACAAACAAAAAAACACAAACGTGTTACCTTCCCTCACTTTTTTACAGTACTGTGTAAGAGATAATGATAAAATGAAGGCATTAGAACACTTGATCATTGCATATTACATTTGTCACCACATGCTTAATAGTGTTCCAAACTCAAATACATCAGAAAATGTTCATTAAAGTTATATCTTGTATAAAAATAAAATGTAGATATACGGTATAAAAACTGGTATAATCAAGCTCTTTCAGGCATCTTTCATCTTTTAATGTCATCCTAAACATAACTTTGCCATCAGCTCTGATGGAGATACTAAGCAAAGATTGACACTACAAACCTTTCTGAAGCTCCACTGACTGGCAGCCATAAAATCTGCCTAAAGAAGGATTAGTAGTGCATGTGGAATGAAAAGAACATTTATTTAGGAAAAAAAAAAGAAAAAAAGACAACTTTGTCCCCATGCTAGGACAGAATCCAAGACCTATTTCAGTCTGCCTGAGGACTTAGGAAAACAAGCATTTGAAGTAACTCTAGTGTCAATGCTAAGAAAACGGAAGACTTCTAGAACTCTGCATGAACATTCTGCATGAACACATTATTTCTGTACTGAATGTTATGCAAATGACCATACAAGGTTTTAGTAACAATGAAAGAGAAAATAATTTTTTTCTTCAGAAGATACTGTGAATCCATAGAATTAAGAAGAACAAACAGATATGGTCTCTATTCATAGGTTTGTTTTCTCAATCAAATAATTCTTTGAAGCACTTAATACTACACTATATGCAGAATAAGATACTTTAAGCAATGCACATCGGCTCTACATTGCTATGTAATATAGAAAGAATGGAAAATAAGTGTTTTCCAATGTTTGTATAATTTTGCCTGTATTATCATTTAATTTTTTACCATACAATTTTATTCCACTACTGAAAGCAAACATTTAAGCCAATATAAATAATCTGAGTAATATAAGGAATTTGCAGAGAGAACAATTTGGGTAAACTATTAAATACATTGCTGGTGCATGCTGAGAAGGAAAAAAACCACATGAGAGCCCTAGTAGAAAATAAAGTAAATAAGAATGAACACACATAAGTATTTCTGCACTTATGTTGCAAAAAAAAAAAAAAAAAAAGCATTACCAAGATAAAAGTATGTTAGCAAAGGGTATGGTTATCTCTACAAAAGCATGTGAAAAAAGAGCACTCTCAAAGACAGGTCGTGTTCATTATGATGACTAACTTTATCATTTAGGATGACGCTTCTGAAAAAGAAGGAAGAGAAGTCATAAGCAAAATAAAATCAAAGAAAGCTTCCACACAGTAGTATGCTTGCTGTAAAAATTAAAGAAGTATAAAAATTTTACACAGTTAATGAAGCTGTGGAAGATAACATTAAGCTATGTGCTAAAACAAAAGCACATACGACTCTCACTAGAGAAGATATCAAGGGTGATAGAAAAGATAGTCATCTCTTTTTTTATCATATAAGCAAAATACTACAATATCTGCACCACGTTTTCTGTTCACAGGAATTTGAGGAACTTCCTGCTAGTGAAACCCTTCAATCTTCTTCAGGAGGTGCTGGCTACAATGAAACACATTTGAAATATTTTTACATCAGTGCAAACAGCACAAACAAGAGGAGATAAAGTCTTGGCTCAGTTTCAGAGCTACAACATCACTGATGTAAGCAAAACCTGGTGGGAAGAGTCCCGTGACCATTGTGTACTGATGAATGATTATAGGCTCTTAAGCAGGGATAAGCAAGGCAAGTAATGTGGGGAGTGGTTATCTATAAAGCTGTATAGAGCTCTCAATTCGTGATGACACTGTTGAGATCAGGATCAAGGGACAATCAAATAAAGCATCTGTTGTTGTGGGAGTTTACTATAGGCCACCGAGCCAGGATGATGACATCAATTAATTAAAGAACTAAAATCAGACTTCAGATTGCTTAGGAAATTAGTTAGCAAAGTCCCTTGGGAAACTGCTTTTAAATGCATGGGGATCTAACCATGCATGTAGCTTTCAAAGTACCACCTCTTAAGAACACAGAAAAAGGCAATTCCAAAATGTCAGAACTCAAGCAGTTGGAGCAGAAGGTTGGGTTGGCTGGGTAGGAATCTTCTTATAGAGCTTATGCAGAGCAAACACAAATACGGCCACAGGAAGTGAGGTCAGGCAACATACAAAGATACTGCTGTAGTGAAAAAATTCATGTGGCCAAAGCTCACTTAGAGTTGAAGCTGGCCATTACCATGGGTGAAATAAAAAGGGCTTTTTAAAATATGTTAACAGAGGACCGAAGATAACATCGGTCCATTTCTTGAGGAGGATGATTGCAAATAGGAGCACAGAAAAAGCAGAGATGTTTAATGCTTTCTTTCCTACTTTCTTCAATGCTGATGAAAGGCTTGAAGACTCTCAGAGAACTGAGTTGGAGAACCATGTCTGCAGTAATGATAAACTCCCTGCCAGCCCTGAAATTGTGAAGGATTTGCTGCTCAAACTGGATGTTTATACGAGGCTTGATAGGATTAATCCAAGAGTACTCAAAAAGCTAGATTATGTAATCTTGATACCTCTCTCAATTACTTTTCAACAGTCTTTGGAATCTGGAGAGGGTCTAGTGAACTGGAATCTGTCAAATATTATCCAATTTTTCAAGAAGGACAAGAAAGAAGATCCTGAAAATTACAATACTGTCAGTATCACTCGTGCCAGATAAAATTATGGAGAAGATCATTAAGGGCATGTTGAAATACATCTGAATGCACACATTCTTCAGAGTCAACACAGGTTCACAAGGAGAAGTCCTTGTTAAATCTCCTTTTATTAAAAGGTTACCTATATAGGTAACCAGGGGAAGCCAGTTGATGTATTCTTTTTGGATTTCAGCAAAGGTTTTGGTGCTGATTCTCACAGTATCCTTCTGGACAAAATGTCCAGAATACAGCTATACAAAAAGATAACTTGGTGGTTGAACAGCTCATTGGCAGGTCAGGTTCAAAGGGATATAGTAAATGAGGTTACATCAGGCTGGCAACTAGTCATTATTAGAGTCCCACAAAACTCCACTTTAATGTTTTCATCAGTGACTGGGATACAGGACTTGAATATATATTAAGTAATTTTGTGGATGACCTTAAATTGAGAGGATCTGATGACTCCCTTGAGAGTAGAGAGGCCCTGCAAGGAGAAAAGGACAAATTAGAGGGCTGGACAATCATCAACCACATGAAGTTTTAGAAGAGCAAATGCTGGATTCTGCATCTGGGATGGGGCAAGTTATACTTGTATGGACTAGGGGACAAGAGGGTTGATTCTTGTTGATAGCAAGTTGAATCCAAGTCCACATGTGCCCTGGCAGGAAAAAGAGCCAACCGTATCCTGGGGTGCATGAGACCCAGAACTGCCAATTAGGTGAGGGAAGGGATTGTCCCAATGTACTCTGAGCTAGTGTGGCCTCACCTCAAGCACTGGGTACAGGTTTAGGCACAACAATATAAGAAAGATGTAAAACTACTAGAGAAATTCCTCAGAAGGGCTATGAAGATGGTGAAGGTTTAGAGGAAAAGATGTATGAGGAGTGTCTGAGGTCACTCGGCTTGTTCAGCCCAGAGAAGAAGAGACTGAGTGGAGTCCTCATGGTGGCCTATAGCTTCTTCATGAGGGGACTGTATGGGATGGGACTGAACTCTTCTCTCTGGTGACAGTGACAGGACACAAGGAAACAGCATGTAGCTGCATCAGGAGAGGATTAGGTTGATTGTTAAGAAAAGGTTTTACACCAGTGAGTGGTCAAGTCCTGGAACAGGCTTCCCAGGGCAGTGGTCATGGCACCAAGCCTGACAGATTTCAAGAAGAATTTGGACAACATTCTCAGAAGCATGGCTTGAATTTTGAGTGGTCCTGTGTAGAGTCAGGAGATGAATTCAATGATCCTCATGAGTCCCTTCCTACTCAAGATATCTGTCATTCTATGATTCTTCCATCCCTAAAAGGCAGAACTGAAATTATGTCAAAGAAAACAGCCTACCTATTTGTGACTTAAATTCAAAGTGGTGTTTAGAAATCTTACAAAAACAACGTATAATAAAAGAGATTTGTTTTATGCATAACATAGAATAGTTATTTGAGAAAACAAAACAAAGCATTTGATTCAGTAAAATACAATCACAAATGGTTTTCCTCTGTGTTTGGAAAGTTGTTCAGCAGATTCAACTAACTAAACTCAAG